TGTTTAATATACTACTGAACTAACTGTTTGATATACTACTAATATAACTGTCTAATATACTATTGATGTGATAGTTTGATTTACATCTGATATAATGCTGACTTTACTTTAACATAAGAATGAAATAGTGTTATGATGCAAATTAAGTGCTACAATATTCAAAATTAGAATCAATAGATAACATTCTCAATATGCTAATACCAACCCAAATAGAATTCTTTAAAAGTTGACAATTTGAACACTTTCTGTCATTTAATATTAGAAGATGCCCACTACAATTATTAGTGCATCTAATTCGCTGAATGTCTAAAAAGAGCCCATGAGATGCAGTGATATTCAATCTAAATGGGAACTTTGTAGGATTTGGATTGATGGAGTTTAACTTGATTACAGGTTTAAACTAGGGGTGTTCACGGGTTGGGCTGGGTTGGGTTGAGGTGTTTTTTGAACCAACCCGAATTTTCGGGTTGGGAATATGTAGGAACCTGCGGGTTGAAAAATGATGACCAACCCAACCCAACCCAACCCAATAAATTCGGGTTGGGTAAGATTGGGTTGTCGGGTTGTTTTTTATTTTTTTAATTGATTAACTCTGGTCCCAGCAAATTAAGCCCCCTTGCCAATTAACATTACCGAGAGCAACATAAAACCAGGATTTCGTTTCCTAATTGTTTCTTCCATTTTGAGACAAACACAGTAAATTTATATAGGTTGTGTTTCTGATTCATACACTGTAAGATTCTCAAATATGTGGATTTTTGGATGGAAAGGACCATCTGGGTTCTCAGCCCGTTCTACAGCGGAAGAAGTCGCAGAAGGGATCGATGGGAATGGCCTCACTGCTATTATTACAGGTTCTGTTTCATCTTTTTCTTTTTCTCATTTGTTCTCCTCTATTTCAATCATTCCTTTGATTTGGGTTTAATTTTCTTTTCTTTTAATTTCTTATTTAGCAGCAGGCGATTTTTTCTCTATAACCAACCCCGACCATCTGTTATTTTTTCTCTATAACCAACCCCCACCAGCAGACACGAATGTATGTAAGAAAGAAGAGCGGAAGAGATTAGAAACTACCTACTTGAAAAACTAGTGGCGGTGGCAGGAGGAGATGGTGCAACGGCAGCGGCGGGAGGAGAAAGCTTCAAGTTCAAGTTTGGATGATGGATAAAAATGGAGGAGAGAGTTTGGTTGGGTAAATGGAGGAGAGGAAGAGATTAGAAATTAAAGATGAGATTTCAAAAATGTGATAAAAGGAGATGAAACCCTAATGGAAATGGATGGTTGAGTTAAATGGAAATGGATGACTGAGATTGAACCAAAAAGGAAGGTTTTGATTAATAATTATTATAAATATGTAACATTACTAATATATATATAAATAAACAGGATGTCGGGTCGGATCGGGTCAACCTGAGACCCAACCCAACCCGGTCGGGTTAAGATTTTTCCAACCCAACCTAACCCAAGCTTAGTTTAAACTATTTTCATGAATACCTAGTATTGACTCGATTCAAGGGTATATCAGATGTATATCAAGGGTACATTAGATTTATATCGGAAGTATATTAGAGGTACATTAGACAGATATACATTGGATGTATATCAGATATAGATTGGATGTAATATCAGATATAGATTGGATGTAATATTAGATATAGATTGGATGTATCCATTGGATGTATCTCAGATATAAATTGGATGTATATCATAAGGGTAAAATTAGAATAATAAAATTTTCGAAAATAAAAATTTAAATATTTTGCTATATTTGAAAATTTGAAAAACTGGTGACATTTTTTGAAATACATAGAATATTTTTGCTACCTACCACAATTACCCAAAAAAATAACATAAAATTATTTAATATTGACACGTCATTTAAAAATTGCCAACTCAATCGTGACACATGATCTATCCATTAGTCAACTAACGGTCAAATAACCTAAATGACCATTTATAACCATTTTCTAAAGATTAAGGACTAAACTGTCACTTTTTGAAATTTAGGAACCAAATAGATACTTAACCTCAAACTTAGAGACTAAAAGTGTATTTTACTCTTAAATAAAATAATTTATAATATATACTTTTTTGATATATTGGTATAGATTATTGAAACTCATAAAAAATAAAATTTCAAAATATTGTTAATTTTAAAAATATATATATATATTTTATAAGATATATATATATATATATATATAATAAAATAAAATAAAATTTTAAAATATCTTTAATTAAAAAAAAGAAAATATTTTATAAAAGAAATAGAAAATATAATAAACAAAAAAGTAAAAAACGAATTAAAACTATCTAATCGGGAATCAAAAATAAATAAAAAAAACCATTGATTTATTTACAATACTTGGAGTTTTACAAGGAGTCATCAAAGTTTCAAACAAAAAGTTTCAAATCGATATAATTGTCCTCACATATATATCATGAATCATGTTCTTCTTTAGTCAATATAAAACTTTGTTTGATCTCTCCTTACAAATCCAACATTAAGTTGGATACTTCGTTTTTGTGGCTTTTTCATTTTCCTTCTTGAATATCCTAAAAGGTGAAAGATGGTTATTCTCCAGTTGTAGTCGAGGAAGGCTCTTTAATTATTTATTGGATGAGGTGTCTACTTCAAAAATAAAAGAATAAAAAAAACAAAAAAAGGGTATTTATGGTATTGAAAAAAAATAAAAGTATTTATGAAATAGTTTACATAAATGCTAAAGCGAACAATAAGTGCGAAAATATTTTTTTTCTCTAATATATTAGATAAAGTTAAAAGGAAAAAATGAAAATGAAAAAAATGAGAAATGGGAAAAATGTAAATGAATCTGGTCGCAGTTGGTGCTAAATGTGGATGAATAATGGAAAACAAAATTCTGGATTGTTTGGAGTTGAAGGGATTGGAAACAGAAAAAGGGAAGGAACCAAAGCCGCAAAAATTGACGTGGGGAGGGAAGGCGGAAAACCGAAAGCAGCAGCAGCAGCACCGTACGTGTCCATTTAGTCAACATCACTACAAATGGTCCCCCCAAAAACCAAACCAAACCTAGGGCTCTACTACTACTCCTCTCTCCGCGCCCACGTCACCTTCCACGCCGCTTACGTGGACTAAAAAGAAACTTCTTTTCTCTTGTCGTTTGCATCCATCCATCTGATCCTAAAGATTGCCCTTTTCTGGGCTTTGAACGATTTCAGATGGCCCACTTCAACTTGCTTTTCTCGGAGCAAGTGGACAAGGCCCACTAAACCCACTGGCATGCTTAATCTTAGATTGATAAACCAAAAACATCCAGAGATGGATCGTACTCATAGTTTATATATTATAACATCTCCTGCTCCCGCGTGTGTGTAGTGTAGTATGGTGATAGCTAATATCCAATCAATTTGAATTTTAACCCCACTAATTAAGCTGCCTTTTTAATTTAATAAAAGACAAGACATATATGCACCACACTTAATCCTGGGTTCATGCATATATGCAAACCGCGCAGATTACGTAAGATTCGTGTGGTAGGTCCACTTTAAGTCCATCCGCATGCCTCAGTTTCTCTTCATTAGATTTAGATTAATTAGAACCAAACCATCACTTTTTTCCAGCCCATCAGCTTCTATATTCTTTATTTTAACTACAACTACTTCTGGCATGCACCTTAATTCTAAAGTTCGATTATTAATTTAATTCAAAAATCACTCACGACCGATTAATATATAGTTTAAATTACGATTTTGGATAATAATGCCTCTAAGCCAATCAAATTTAACTACACACATAACACAATATTCCTCACTATCTTATTCTCTTAACATTCCCCCAGATAACAGTTGACGCAGAACGTAATATGGATGTGGCGTTGGGATTTTTGTTCATAATGATGGTGATGTATGAGTGAGCTCCAAACAACGTATATATCTCTCTGCCCATATATAGTAAAATCAAAATGAATTATCTCTCTAAGTGTGCGTATGTCACGTCTCAATCTTTCTTACATCCAACTTTGAAACCTCCGAGATCGAATCTGACATTAATAATTAGAGGGCCGGGGTGGTTTGTATGATTAGTGTAATATACAAAAAGAAAGGGGAAAAAAGAAATAAAAAAACACCGCGTGCTCTGTGTACTTGAATCAACATGGTTTTTCACTCATATCTCTGACTTTGATTTGTATCATATGATATATTCTTACGCTGTTTCCTTCTCCAACTTTGCTATCTCTTCATCATATATCAAATCAAACCTGCTTTCTTTCTGCCACGGCTCTAACTATTATTGTCCTGTCCTTTTTATGCTGCCTGTTGTTGATAATTGTGATTCAAACCTCTTTCCTATAACTAAATCATTGCACAAATTCTTTTTTCGTGAATTGTGTGCCGCCGTCGATTCCATTTCCTTTCGGTGCCTTTATTTTCTTCAAAGCATCATATTTTATTTTTCCAAAAGATTGAAACTGGTTTTGGCATCATTTCCAATCATTCTTCGGACCAATATTATAATCTCATCAACTTTAATTTGTGTCACGGCTCCTGCTATATCTTTTTCGATCTCCATTACGACGTTTGATTTGAAAGTTTCATATCAAAGCGACTCACATTATATTGATCTCGAGTCCTAAACCCCTTTCTTCATCCACGTTAACATCAAATTCTCAAGCACTTCCACCCATTATTTATCACTTTTAATCAAACCCATATTATGTCTCTTTGTTAATTATCAAAAATTCATTTTTGGTTCTTCTTAAACAAGCGTCAACAATTGTAGTTGGATTAATCGTTGACATTCATCATATTTTATTACACAGTCCCAATTTGCCCCCCACAAAAAAAAAAAAACAGCTTTAAAATGTTTTTCTTCAGAGTTCTTTTCCCCTTAAAAGAAAAATTATGTTTTCATCCCTAAGTCTACATATTGGCAGAGTTTATGATCAATTACATGCATGAATTAATTAATATTTCTCAGATTTGTTGATCAAAGTACCACATGCCTGCCCACACACACATATATAAAGATTATGGGTTGTTTTTATTTGTCTATTTTTGTAGTGAACCTGAACCTAGTACATCATACAACTCTTACTAAAATGATGATGGGAAAATATTATTCCCTCTAGGAGATGCAACTAGCAAGTAAAATCTAGAGAAGATGACAGGAAAACGTGAAGAACAGATAAAGGTAGCTGTTGACTGGAAAGCCACTGAATATATGCATTAGAAATAGAATGAAGCAAAAATTAATTAGGCACGACAAGGAAAGGAATCACTTGAGAAAAATTAATTATATATGGTTTATATATTTATTATCAGCTAGATCTAGAGCAGGAAAATAGGGCATGGATAAAATCTTAGAGGAGTTTTGATGATGAGTAGTCCAAATTAAAAGTGGGAGGTAATTGGAAATGGTTTAATTGGTGGGGCCACGGGTGCCGAAATGATTTTGTTGGTTGAATGAGGAGGAACTGGAGGAAGAAGAAGAAGAGGAAAACAATGAAGGGTATGGGTGGTTGAGGAGGGTGGAAGAGTAATAGGGGAAGTCCGCGTCGGTGCTGGAAAGAAGTTGGGCGTACTGGTGAAGGCCGGGGAAGGCTTCTTCTTGCGGCATTAATGGAGGAGGAATAGCAACCCCAACAGAAGAAGATGGTGCTGCAGCTCCAGTAAACTCAGCACCCGTGTTGTTCCCTTGAACCCGCTCTGGAAAATTAAGCTTGGCCTTGGTTCCCTTAAACCTCAAAGCTGCGTTATCGTAGGCAATGGCTGCAGCCTCCGCGGTGTCAAATGTCCCGAGCCAAACTCTAGCCGCTTTCTTCGGGTCACGGATCTCCGCTGCCCATTTCCCCCACGGTCTTTGTCTCACCCCTCTATAATGTCGTTTCCTTCCACTTTCTGCCATGCCATCACGTTTCACAAATTATTAACTATATTATAAAAATATCAACAAAGACCCACAAGACTTTTAATTTTATCACACAATTACAATTTACAACAAAAACGTTGGAGATTGCAAATCCAATCCTCCGGCTCAAATTTGGAACATATATAATTAATTGGTGGGTGTGCATGTGCAAGAGCGGCGCGCTACCTATGGAAATATAATATAGGGCAGATCCCCATAGACATTTCTCCTCTCCTGACATATTTATTTTAATAATAAAAGCATGCACACACATGGACATGCTCCCCCATGTTCCACTTCATTAAGCTTCCCATGCACCACAAACAGAAACACACATATTAATAAAACACAAAGTCGGTGCCCGTGACCATTGTGTTCTAACATATAACTTGCATCACCATCAATCCGACTACTACTCCTAATTGCACACATTTCATATACAATATCAAATTATTAATTTGAGCCGATTCAAACAGTGTGTAGTAGGGGAATTAAACACTTTGAATAGGTATCCATAATTTTTCCAAAATTTCAAAATAATGGCAGGTTCTAATCGTTTAGTGTATATCTTGGACGAAAGAACAACAAAATAAAAAAAAGATATTATATAGTGGACAAAGTAGCCATCGTTTTCAAGATTTGACAATGAATAATAATAATAATAATAATAATAATAAAAGAAATGTCTGGTCGATGGTCAAAAGCGTAAAGGGAATAGCAAGTAGTTAGATGGGAAGTTACGTAAGAGATGGAGGTGTGGTATTAAATATGTGGTTGAATCGTGGTGGTGGGAACAATTCGTTTCGGCCCGCCTAACTAAAGGGACTAAATTAAAATGTGATTGTAATGTTAGACCATTAACAGCAAGAAAAACAAATTTAAACACAGCGCCTATGTTCTAATTAATTAATTAACACGAGAAATGAGAACAACACGTGAGATATACACAGAGATATAGATATGTCCGAGATATAGACAAAAGTATAATTACAATGCATCTAGTTTCCACCACACACACAAAGAGGAAAACTTGTTTACGCAAAGTGCATGACATAGATGCATGAACTTGAACACATATAACAACGATTGGGGAAAAAAGTAAATACATGTTTTCTTTTTCCTATTAAAAAAAGAAAAAGAAAAAGAAAAATTGAAATACAGAATAAGATCTTTCATATATATGTATATGTAATATGTGTACCCTGAAAGCCAGGTTACATATATTTTGTATGATCATATATATATCTTCCAAAAGTGGGAAGAGGGTTTTTAGTTTTAGTATGTAGGTTATTGTTGGAGGTAGGGAGGTGTGCAGTACCAAATTAAGTAGTCTCGGACATGGGTATAAGTGATTGGGAGTGAAAAAGGTAAGAAGATGAAGAAGAAAATCAGAATTAATATTATGATGTAGTGTGGTGATGTGTGTGGGAATGAATATTAATTAAATGACAAGGGAAGCAAATGAAATAGATCTGGGGAGGGTGGTCACATGATTTGAATTGACTATATTGATCAGGATGAAGTGTAAGCTGTAATTGTGTTGATGGTAAAGAAATAGGAAGGGTAGGGTACCTTGATTGTGAAGCGGAGGTGGTTGAGGTTGAGGTTGAGGTTGAGGAAGGTTGAAATGGTGGGCGTCGTCCTGGAAGCAGGTGGTGGAAGCAATATGAGAAGGAGTATTAGGAGAGTAATTCATTATAGTCTGTGATTGTGATTGTGATTGTGATTGTGAATACTGGGACTGGGACCAAGAAGCGGAAGATGGGTAAATAATATTATTATAAGAACCCAATAACTCATTCATCCGGCCTGAACCCTCTCTCTCTTTCTCCTGATCCTGATCCTGATCCTGGCCCTGATCCGGCCCTTCCCAGGGAAGTGCCCGCTTTCCATGCCGCCGATCCACCTTTCCTTTGATCTTTACCTTCCGGAGACTGCTTCAACTTCACATCCACTCTCTTTTCTTTCTCTCCTTCTCCGATCCCTTCTTTTTTTTTCCAACACAGATCCCCACCCAGACAGATCACGCAATATGTAATAATTCGCTGGAGCTACGAAGAGGAAGAGGAGAGGAAGATATAGGGAGGTGAGGTACAAGACATATATAGAGAGAGAAGCGGCAGCGGGAGGGAGAGCAGGGTTTATCTCTTTCTTACAACACAACTTACAATCAACCTTTAGCCTTTACCTATACATATATGATATACTATTATAAATAAGCCTTTTCATATTCTCGTGTATTACCCTTACCCCATCCATTCTAATTCCCCCCAACTCCCAATTCCATTAACTTCCCAACACCCAATTCCATTAACTTCCCAACACCCAAATAATACTAATCTCAAATTACATCCAAAACATTCCCAATTAATTCAGAATTACTCATCCTTTTCTTTCTTTTCTAAAATTTTGATATTTGCATCGCCAGTGGGCCCCACGCCTTGAAATTGCTTCCCTCAAATTTTATTTTGTTTTTAAATTAAATTACATATTTTCTCTTTCAATTTCCTCCTCACAAAGCTTTACTTATTACCTTCAAACTTTCTAAATCATGTTTCTATTAAACTCCTTTGCACACACCTTTTTCTTTTTCATTGACGTAGGGGTAAAAGTAATTCTCTTTCAAAAATCATCAAATTTGAAAATTACTTTTGGGTTTGTAAAAGAATCGAAACATAGTTCCACGTTGACTAGGAAATGAAATGACCGATGGTATATAACAGAGGACAACTATCTCCATCATTAGTACGAGAAATTTTGGGTGAAACAAAAAATAAAACCGTGAGGGCTATGCCCAAAGCGGACAACATCATACCATCGTTTAGTTGTCCTTAACACATTTTAAGGCACACTTGTTGGAAAAAAAAATATATAGATCAATCGATCCTCCTGTAAGTTCTTCAAACAAGAACTATTTGATTTTCCCCTTCCACAGGCTAAAAGCAGATAAGTAAATAACAATAACAAAATAATAAGAGATAGGGATAGAAAAGCTTAACACTACAATAATTATACTGGTTCGCCCCTATCTTGGGACTACATCCAGTCTTTTGCGAAAAAACAGGTTCAACTATATTAGTTCAGAATATTACAATCAAGATCTCACTCAAGATATTACAATCTTGCTTCTAAGTAGCCTAACAATGGTTACCTAGGATTACACAATTGAAAATACCCTCACTAAAACCCACGGGATACAAAATCTTTTTTTCACACACTGCCCACAACTACTCAAGTCTCTCTTATTTGAATTCTGTACAAATGAAAACTTAACCAAAGGGTTCTATTTATAAGAGGTCAAATATCTCAATTCTTATAGGAAAACAATATTATAATCCTTATAAGACAATAATATCCTACTAGGAATTGGTAGTAGTGTTTGAAAATAATTTTCCTCGTAGGACACAGGTCATCTGTTTTGACTCCATTGTCCCAACAATCTCCCACTTTGAGATAAAATATCGATCCTGCCTCCCACCGCAACAACAGTCTCTGATAATCTTGGAAAACTTCAAGGCTTCTTCTGCAACAACTTCTGATCTTCTTGAAAAAATCTCCAAGGCTTCTCCTGCAAGTTTAATAACTTGTAAAACAAAAAATCAGAAATCATCAGTCTCATCTGTCCTTGCCTTAAGGTCGAGCAATCTACGTGGTCTTGTCTCCCAGATGCAAGAGACACAGCCATGTGCTCCCACTCAAACTAAGTGGCGATATTTGAAGCTTCCTTCTTCGTTCTCAAACACTGATTCTTGAAGAAAGAACTTCCCATTGATGACTTGACAACTATATTCAAGTCTGCTGCCATAATTGAAACTTCATTCTTTACCTCAGCACCTACTGAGTTTATCTTCTCTGATGCAACTGTTCGATAACGTGACTTCATCAATTCACCCATTTGTCTGACAACTGGAGATAATCCCAGACAACCTAAAGAACCTGTTCTCGTTCTTTGACTTCCCAATTGTTGTTCCTGAATTGATGGTAGATCCTCATGATCTGTTCTGGTTGTTTTTGTTGCTGGCTCAATCCTACCTCTTTGGACACCATCTGCAACTTGCATCCACTGTTTCAATGATCCTCTGGCAACACTCAATTGCGACGTGTAAACTGTAGTTCTTCTATGGCCAATTGCCACCAACTTGGATCCTTTAGTGAGCTTCCACTGGTTCCCACCAAACTCACTCTGATAATCATCATTGTCCAACTTACCTGTAGAGATAAGATTCATTCTGATACTGGGTACATACCTGACATCTCACAGTAATAACTCAGTCCCACTATTGGTCTTCAATCGTATATTTCTAATCCATTTAGTCTTGGAAAGTCTTCCATTCCACATCCTCACGTGGTCGCGATTGCCTYTTCTGAAAGATGTGAATAACCTTCTACTTGAAGATATGTGTACTGAAGTTGCGCTGTCTATTACCCACTCTGATAACTGGTTTCCTGTTTCTATGTYGCTTTCAACACAGACGAGGGCATCGTCTACAAGTGCATTTGACTCCGCCATATACCTCTTCAGATCCTCTTTTAATATTCTACATTTTTTTATGTGGCCTTTTCTGTGGCAATAAAAACATCCAGCATTTCTTTTCCAATCCCTCCTACTATGCTTCTGCTGCCTGTCATCAGATGCAACCTTCTCTTTACCTTTTTCGACAGTCAATGTTGAGCCTTATACGGAAATAGATTCTTTTCCACTCCCTTTTCTGTGAATTTCTTCAGCAATTGCCGCATCACAAATTTCTGAAAATTTCAAAGATTTGTCTCCTAACTAATTGGACACTACTGTCTTCATCGTTTCCCAACTTTTAGGTAAAGATGTTAGCAACTGAATAGCATTCACTTCGTCACTAAAAGTAATATTAACTTATGCCAATTGATTGATTAATTTTATGACCTCATTATGTGAGAATTGACAGAAGTATTCTTTTCCATTTGAATGTTAAAGAACCTTCTTACGAGATATACCTTATTATTAGCTGAGGGTTTCTCATACCTATTCTCCAGTGCTTTCATCAGATCTATTGTTGTCGTTTCGTTTGCTACCAGACTTGCCACATTCATCGATAAACACAATATGATAAAGGCAACTGCGTACTCATTCGTCTCTACCAAATCTTCATCTTTCATCCTTACCGGTCGTTTCTTTAAAGCTTTATTCAACTTCTTGCAGGTCAAGTAATATTTAATCTCCATCTTCCAATATTTGAAATTGGCCCCATCGAACTTCATGATTCCTTCAAAACCTGACTTCTATGCTGACCCATGACCCTCTGAACCAAACGCTCTGATACCAATTGTTGGGAAAAAAAATATAGATCAATCGATGTAAGTTCTTCAAACAGAAACTATTTGATTTTCCCCTTCCATAGGCTAAAGCAGATAAGTAAATAACAATAATAAAGGAATAAGAGATAGGGATAGAAAAGCTTAACACCACAAGAATTATACTGATTCGCCCCTATCTTGGGACTACATCCAGTCTTTTGGGAAAAGCAGGTTCAACTATAGTTGAGAATATTACAATGAAGATCTCACTCAAAATATTACAATCTTGCTTCTAAGTCGCCTAACAATGGTTACCTAGGATTACACAATTGAAAATACCCTCACTAAAACCCACGGGATACAAAATTCTTTTTTCACACACTGCCCACAACCACTGAAGTCTCTCTTATTTGGATTCTGTACAAATGAAACCTTAACCAAAGAGTCCTATTTATAAGAGCTCAAATATCTCAATCCTTATAGGAAAATAATATTGTAATTCTTATAAGACAATAATATCCTACTCCTTGTAGAAATTGGTAGTAGTGTTTGAAAATCCTTTTCCTCGTAGGACACGGGTCATCTGTTTTGGCTCCATCACTTTCACAATGGCATATTTTAAGACACTTTTTATTCGTTCACGCTAAAATTAAGAGATGAACTAAGGTTTTTTCTTTCTGCATTAATGGGGTTGCCTGTCCCTCTACTGAGAAATGTCTCATTTGAAAATGATCCTTTGTATCTACTATATATATATTTTGGTGGAAAATGAAAACTATTCATTGATATGATAGGTGAAAAACATCCATAAAAAAGAGACCTAAATAAAATGACTCAATTAAGAAAAACTATAATGAAATAATAATTACAAAAGAGAGAAGATTTTGCCGATCAAAAAAGAAGCAATAATCGTGATATCCTCCTAAAAGACTAATATTTCACTCTAGCCAAGTACGTCCAAGAGTAGAGCCAATGACATTGCTCCATAAAATATTTTTCTGGTTGGTAAGCGGAAGGAAAAACTTTCAATTATGAATTGATCAATTTATTTAGGAGAACAAAGCTGGCTTGGAAGGAGCCAAAAAGTCCATTCCAAAGTTCTTCCCGGGCAATGATGGAAGAGATGGTCCAATGATTCAATAACAAAAACCTACTACTTTTCATTTATTGAGATTTGGCAAAGAGTTAAATTTCAATGACGGAAATGAAAATTGTTTATTTTAAAATTTGAAAGTACATTGACACTTAAATATTTTAAGGATTTAGGATGCAAAATTGAAATAGCTACATAAGGGTAAAAATTTTGGATACAGGAGAACTCGAATCTAGATTTTGGGTGCCAACACCCAAGGGTGCCACCTTTTTATTTAAACGATACGATATATTTCTTTTATTTGAAGTTAAATATCACCCCATGATAAAATCTATTTTTGAGAACAGACATACCTAGGTAGTATCATCAAATCCATACATTTGAGTTATGGTTTTTATTGTTTTGTCTTATTGCGATTTTGCTCTAGTAAGGATAAGAAAAACCATCATGTAAGTTTCTTTTAGAGCAATCCTATTTATCTGTTAAGGACAACGGTAGTCTCTACCTCCAAGTATCTCCATAATGGTTATTTACTTTGAACATAAACCCTCATGATTTTGTTTTTGGTTTCACCTAAAAGGTTTCATACCAATATAGATAGTTGTCCTCATCTAATTTCATCTATTCCCTAACTAAATTGGGACTTTTTTTGCACACTTTACAAATCCAACAATCTACCCCTTCGAACAAAGTGTCACTCATATCTTGCATCGAATAGTCATGCACTCATCTACTCTTGACTAGCCTCCTTCTATCTAGCGCTTCTAGATAGATCACTTAATACTCGGACCACCTTGTGGAAACACCACGTCTCGTTCTAGCTACCACACCTTCAATCTTCTCCCCTCTAATAAAGATACCTCATTATTCCAATCAAAGTCTATGTCGGCTTCCTATCAATCTACCCCGACTTGATAGGGAATATCTTGCTCGTCGCCCGAGCATATATCTTTTGCGCGCTTGCCACCTCAAGTACTTTCTTTAATGACTATTAGGCTACCAACACTCTTCTTCGGCTCCCGAGGATTCCTCTCACACAATTAGGTTTTTTTTACCATGGCTGGTCATTATTAATTTTTTAGCATGACCAGCTGACTTGGTTTTTCTAATAGGTTTAGTAATATATCTTAAAATGCATTTTTCTTGATAGTACCTCTAGACAAATCTACTTTTATGTTTTACTAAAGAATAAGCGCTTTTATTAAACTGGGGATGTGTCACTAAGGCTACATCTCTTTGCCAGTCAGTTTCAACGCATCAACGAACGAAAAAAGGAACACGCCTGCCCAAGCTTGAGAGGTTCAAAAGAAAGAACGAGAAATTTGATTTCAGAAATCCAGTTTGCTGCTTCACCCTGCCACTCAACTTCTTCACAAATCAGATTTATGGCTTCTAACGAGTCAGATTCAATCAACACCTTCTTCGGCCCTATTCACAAATCTTCGACCATCACGAATGGCAAGAATCTCAACTAATTGAGACTACTTCCTGCCTGAACATCAATATCCAATCTGTCGTTTCTGAAATCTACTTGCCATTTTCGTTAAAAACAAATTCTTGAAATATACATAATTGTATATATATACAAGGAAAGGAAGAAAAATACTATTTTTCATCCCTTATCTAAAATATCGAAATAGTGCACAGAAAATCCTTATATTTTTGTTTAAAATTAGAAAATTATTGAACTCAAGTTTAAAATCTGCAGTTCGGTCAAAAAGTTTAATGGAAAGCTAGTCAAACTTGCTTGGGAAGGGGCCCAGCCATTTATTTATTTATTCTTTAGAGATAGTTGGTGAAGAAATTAATATCCTTTGAATATCATAATTCGTGGATTCTAGCCTAACTAAATAGATAAAGGTATTTATTATCATCATCAAAATAATAATAATCGTTAGGAATGACGAAGAATATAAGATAAGAGAGGCTGTGGTTGCTAACAAATGTAAGATGTGTATGTGTAGAGAAGTAGGAAGAGGGGCGTGGCCTGGTCCCGTCGTCCTCTCCTTCCCCATATAAATTATAAACCCTTTTTCTCCAATGTTCCGTATCCAGAAGTTGTCAAACTTTTCATCTCTGCATGCTTCTACTTCTTTTCTCACTAACACACATTACATTACAATTACAATTAATAGGTAGATAGAGATATGGAATTTCATTCAGACAAACCACGTGTCTTCATCAATGCTTCTATATATATATATATGAACCTTCGCAATCACATTTTGAAATTCTTTATTAACTCAGATCCGCTCCAAAAAGTCATTTCACCTACGTGCCACGCATGTGCACTGTAACGAAACTTTTCATATTTTTCACAATACATACAGATGGAGATCAGAGGGCTTTTAATCCATTTTGAACCTAAACATAATCTCGGCGACAATAAAAGATGGTAAAGATTTAGAGACAGAAAAGCAAAGCAAGGAAACGGGGTTGGTCACTACACAATTTAAGGCTTTCAGCGACGAAATCCCGTCGCTAGTTTTATCGTTGTTTCCGTGTCGCTGAAATTTAGCGACAAAAACAAAATTTCGACCAAACGGTAAAACGTCGCCTAAACGACGCTTTTTTTTCGTCACTAAGGGAGTGACGAAATGCATTTTGTCGCTAGGAAGGTGATGAAAACATTTCGTCGCTATTTCGTCGCTTCCTATCTTGGTAGGCGACGAAATATGTTTTCGTCGCTTTATTTCTTGGCAACGAAAAACTGAAAAAACTGTCACTTTTTTTTCAATTAATTAATTTCATTGTTTCTTTGTTTCCTAATTTCAATCCTAAATTTCCAAGATTTCTATACAAACATTGTAATGTTCTTGATTTCTCATCCGAAATTTGCCGAATATACATAATTTTTCCATAATAACAAAATTTGACCTTAAAATTTGTTGCTAAATTTAAAAAATATAGCAAATATCATTGAACAATTGTATCATTCATAACATTGCAAATATCTAAAAATAAAACTCATTATAAAATTAGAGTACAAAAGAAAAATAACGTCAAGCGTCTAACTAAAGTCACACAAATAATTCTCTCCAACGTCCAAGTTTCCACCATCCTTGTAACATCAATCCTGCACAAAGAATTGTATCAATTATTTTTGTAGTATAAGTATAAAAGTAGATTCTACGCGAATAAATAAAATAAAATCAATAAACTAAATTAACATAATAGTAAAACAATAACCAAATGCATAATGAATACCAAATTCATCCAATGTCACAGACCCGCCCCTTTTATTACAATACCAAACACATAAACTCATAACTCAATGTCACATACCCATCCAATGTCACAATACCAAAAAGAAAAAATTTTAACCGAATGTCACAAACTCATCCAATGTCACGATACCAAACAATACCAAAAAGAAAAAATCATAACTCAATGTCACAAACTCATCCAATGTCACAATACCAAACACATAAACGCATAACACCCACTAACCCATATCTTCCTCCCCTAAAAATCACATGAGATCAACAATTGAATTTCTCCCCCCCTCCCCAATGTCACCAACGTTATAAACTCATTTCACGTTCCAAAACAGAGCTCCAGATAAACTCAGACATACTCCGAAGGTAAAATATATTCCAAAGAAAATCGGACATACTCAATACATACGTAAATAATATCATACTTCAGACAAACATAATCCAGAAGACATACTCTCAAAACATACGTAAACATTTAACACTTGAGCACATAGCCAGAACACCAAGAAACTAATTTCACGACATACCTTACTAGTCGATGAACTTCCTCCCCCCGAAAGAAACATTTGTTGCATTTCGAGAAGTTTCCTATTAAACTCCTGACTTTGGGCCTCCAATGCTTTCTGTATTTGTTCTTGGGTGGTCCTTGCCATTTCTTCCTCATGCTTCTGAAGACGAGCCTCTAATGACTCCACATATTCATCAGAGTATTTTGATGATGATCCTTTATTTCTGGTGGGTTTCGGTCCATATCCCATTCCTATTACATAGTTCGATCTTTTCCCAAGGACTGTCTCCATTATTTCTTCTTCTGTTTTTTCGTCTCCTTGAGAAGCATGATACGCTTTTAAGGTAATCATTTCTTCCTGAAAAAAAAATAAAAGTGTCGTTAAGAACTTTGAGCTATATATATCTTACATCAATACTTTATGTATTACAAAATTAAACGAATACTTACATATGCATTCCTCCCTTCCTCGTTAATCCAACCTTTTTCTTCCGAGTAATGCATATTGAAGAATATATGAATAGGACTTAAATATGTTTCATCTTATTTTCTCTATTAAAAAAGATTGTTAAGTTGTAATAAGAATAATAAGAACCTAAATCTAAAGTCGCAATACAATTCAAATAAATTATTGGGTTCATACCGAATCTTCTCGATGACACTGAAATGGTTTTGGTCCACCTCGATGATTGAACCTCAATTTACTACGGGCCACCTTATTTTTTGCAGATTTTTCCTACAAAATTACATGTTTAGTTAAAAAAACGATACTTATAAAATGATAATAAAGAATTAAGATCATATTAGTTACCTTCCATGCCAGAGATTCCAATTTATCACATAATATGTTCCAGTCTTCTTGTTTAATATCTTTATACGGCTTTTGGCGAGCACGTGCTAGATCACGTACCTTTTTGTAGTGTCGATATAGTTTCGCTCTATAATCCTTGAATCGAGTTCCAATCTCGTATAAAATGTATCTATGCACATGTAGCTGAGATATATCACAACAAACTTCTCCTACAGAATGACCAGTTAACAACATATTCGATTATTAGTGGCCAACAAATACAACATAAAAAAATGGTTACTAGTAACATCTGAATGATTTTATTAATCTCTAGCACCGTTATCTCTTTTTTCTTTGCACAATTCACATCAATATGGTTGCGTGCCAAAAAGTCTATCTCACTGTTAAACAAAGTTGACTCAGGTCCAACTAGTCTACCATGTTGCTCCGTCCATTCGAGCTTGATTTTTCCAACTCGATTTACGACTCGTAACAAGAATTCGCCACGAGTTTCCCTCGTGCTCGTGTGATTCCAGCGATGGTATCGTCACCTTCGCTATCTGATGACATTATGTCTAAAAAATGAAAATAAGAAAACAGAACACAAGTTGTTAGGATTAGTCCAAAATACAAATTATAAATTTACAAAACATATAATATACCATATAGGATTACTCGTCAATATCAGAGTCATCGATTTCATCCGACGATGTTGTTTCATCATATTCATCTTCATCCTCGTCCTCGTCCTCTATTTCGTCTTGTACTTCATCAAAATTTAATACTATCTCAATTGTACTAGTATTGTCGGATACTATACTTGGATCTATGTCTGATCTATGAAATGTTTGTGTCTCGAGATTCACTTCATCTACTACACATTGATTGATATCGACTTCAACTAAATCAATCTCTTCTACTTCAGGCACATCCCATAAATGTCTATGTTGAATTTTTTGAGCTACTTTCCATCCATTACCTAATTGAAGATCACCAACATAAAATACTTGTTGTGCTTGAGAAACAAGTATAAACGGATCATCCTTATACCATAAGTGACACGTGTTTATGCTTGTAAAGTTATTATTTTGACGAACATGATTTTTCTTAGGATTTGTATCATACCAATCGCACCTAAATAGAAGAACTCGTTTGTCTTTAATGTACTTCAATTCTATCACTTCCTTAATAATACCATAGAAGTCGGATCTCTCATTATCATCTCCACCAAATACACACACTCCACTATTTTGAGTAGTGTAACGATCATCCCTCTCGTTTGTGTTGAACCGAACCCCATTAGTAACACACCTTTGATATGAATTTACTCGACGGTCCGGGCCACAGGCAAGTGCATACAACTCATTCACAACTTCGTTTGATGTCGAACAAACTTGAGAACTCACTTTTTTTTTAAACAATTCTGGAAATAGAATCTCTTGAAGCCTTGTGAGATTACCACTATTACCACTACTTCCACGTTGAAGCTCCATTTCGTGCTCTCTACCCAATGATTGAACAATGAATAGATGTTGAAGTAAGAATAATCTTAATTTTCTAAATATAAAACAAAAAAAAACATACCGTTTGTATTCATCGACTGCTTCGCAATTGGTTAAGACATACTAGTGGGCTTTTTGTAACTCAGTATGCGATAGTTGTTTCATTTTTGAACCACCGATTGGACGTGCATTTTATGAAAACACAGACAGACATCCTTTATTTGTTTCATTCAAGTCTTGCGGATCATCATTCCGAACTGGCCTATTGAACTTTGTTTCAATTCCACTTAGGTACATCGAGCAGAACGTTAACGATTCATTTGCAATGAATGCTTCTGCTATAGATCCTTTAGGGCACGCTTTATTTCTTACGTACTGTTTCAATGTCATCAATCTCCTACGAGCAAGTGTTATTGTTACTAAATAAATAAATATATTGAAAACTAGACATGAAGATACTAAACATATCATACCTCTCTATTGGATACATCCAACTATAACCACAGGTCCAACAAGTTTGGCTTCTTCTGGTAAGTGGACAGCTAGATGAACCATGACATTGAAGAATGCTGGAGGGAATATTCTCTCGAATTTACATAAAATCAATACGATTGCTTCTTGTAGCTTATTCAAAGTCTCGACTTTTAAAGTCTTTACAGTCAGATCCTTGAAAAAATCTGACAATTCTGCAATTGCCGAACTCACATCTTTGGGCAAGAAAGGACGAATCCCCACTGGTAAAAGTCTTTGCAACAAGACGTGTGAGTCGTAACTTTTGAGTCCAGATATCTGTTCATCTTTACCACTAACACATCTTGATATATTTGATGCAAAACTATCAGGAAATTTAATTGTTTTCAAGAAGTTGCAAAATTTCCTTCTTTCTTCTATTGTTAAAGTGTAGCTCGCATGCGGTTTCACCCACTTATTCCCGACTTGTTGAAGATGCAGCTCTTTTCGAATGTTCAACCTCATTAAATCTCTACGTGCTTTATCAGTGTCATTTGTTTTCCTTTCGACGTTTAATAATGTGCCCATGACATTATCACATATATTTTTCTCGATATGCATAACATCCAGTTTGTGTCGAATCTTAAGATTCAACCAATATGGTAACTCAAAAAAGATGCTTTTCTTCACCCAATTGACTTTATCATGCAATCGCTTCCTTTTTCATTGTAAGATGTTTACAGTTTTTCCAAGTGGCGGAAACTCAATGGATTCTAATTGGTGAAGGACATTCGATCCAGAAAAATGACGTGGTGAAAGTCTATGTTCGGTTTCTCCATTATAATGTTTACTTTTACGCCAGGGATGATCTTTATGCAAGAATCGATGATATCCCATATAGCATATTTTACTATGCAATGGGGCAGATGTAACGTCTTCGTTACAAACTGGGCATGCCTTATATCCTTTCGTACTCCATCCCGACAAAT